ATATATATATATATAATATATATATATAATAATATATATATATATATATATATATATATATATATATATATAATATATATATATATATATATATATATAAAATGTAATCTGAATTTACTTTGAATATACCGCAACTACAAATGTAATACAATCAGTACAATGCCGCCTTTCTACTCATACGTGTCGTGAGTACTGAGAGAAATGCGTTCGTATGCTCAACAAACCAAAACACTCACCGAAGCTTCGTTGTCAATCAATCGCGTGCGCACTTTTATACTCTCCGTATCCAGATTCTTGATATCCTCATCGAGGTCCTGCAGCACCAAGCATTAAAAGAAACGTCGGTGAATCATTGGGGAAAGACGAAAAGCCATTGAAAACGGCAGAAAATCACGAGAGAAACGATGGCCAAGCAATGGAAAAGACGGAAAATCAATGGGGGAGGATGATAAATCAAGGTAAATCAAGAGAAAAGATGGTATAGCAATAGAAAAGATGGTAAAGCAAATAGAAAAAGGAGTATTGGATGATTGACTGAAGTGATGATAGGCACAGCGACCACTTTTTCCTATTCCTTTTGGTGTCAACAACTCGAAATAATGGTTCTATTTAATGTTACACCGACACACAACTGCAGAAGCCAAAGACCCGCATAGCCTTCCTAACAAGTGGGAAATCATAACAGTACGGATGGTATATAACGTATTTATGTAAAAAAACATGTAGCCAAAAGGGGACACACATTCAAACGAGCACACAAACGATTGCATCTATGAGATAGAAATACGTACGAATGAATATGAACAGATGATATGTATGTGAACACAAACAAACACACACACACACACACACACACACCACACACATATATATATGTACATATAGACATACATATCTACATAAATACTTGCTTGCGTACATAAAGACATGCACACACACATACATATATATAAAAATAAATGATAAAAATAATACTAAAACAATACAATAGTATAATAATAATATAATAATTTAATAATATAATAATAACAACAATATTATTAATAATAATAATATATATATATATATATATAGAAAAGATGTTTCGATATACTTGCAAACTTTTCGAGCATATAACAATACATGAACACAGACACGGACACACACACAAACACAGATACAGACATATATATATGTCTATTTATACACAAATACAGATAGATACCATGCATGCACAGATAGATAGATAGATACAAACACACACACACACACACACACATATATAAATATGTATATACATTCATATACATATCCGTGCATACATATACACATATACACACACACTTACACTTAAACGCACAAACACACACACACACACATATATATATACATATATATGCCTGCCTGCATATATACGTATACACATACACACAAAAAACACCGTATACACACATTATATATATATATACATATATACAAACACAAACACAAACAAAAATAAACACACACACACACACACACACACACACACACATATATATATTATAGTAAATACATGTGGGTATACGGCTATATATAAACATATACACACGCACATAGCATACACGCTCATTTTTTCATGGGGTGATAGTATATTTGTCTGTATGGAATTCTTAAAAGTATGCTGTTCTGTGTAGTATACTTGTCTGTATGGACTTCTTAAACGCATGATGTTCTGTGCATGACTAAATGCATATCGAAGTACGTTTCATATATAAGCTTGCCAAGCTTCTTGAATGTAAGGGTAAACACGCACTGAATTCGAGCTACTAAGAGAACAATCGATAAATATTTCACCTGTCCACACTCATTCGAGAATAAACATCGACCGACATCCTTGTCAATCGTATGCGTTCACACATTAAACTATTGGAGCGCAGCCGAGAAACAGACAAAGGCTCACAATTATGTCGAATAAATACGATGTACACAGATAGCGACTTATACATTCCCCTACATCCTGCAAACCAGAGCTTGATAGATAGATCTGCACAGATAAGAGGAATAGACAGGTTCTTGTACCTTATGTAATAGGGCCCACACCATAAACACTCACCTGTTCACCGTCCTCCCACAGAGACGCATCATCCAGAGTCGTCGCCTTAGCAGCCATGGTGTTAGTACTACTAGTATAATATAATATGTGCCTAAGACTGTCCAACTATCACTCACCGATTAGCAAGCGTGTGTGTACGTGTGTTAACAGGAGATATGTACAATCGAGGGAATTCAAAACAATCACTACTTCTGTATACGTACAGGTATTTACTTTACAATTTCTTGACATGTATAGGTAATCGCACAGATAATTTCGGCGGCTGTCCTCTCAGTGAATACGTTTTGAACGGAATGGTTGCGTTAAATACATGTTTACGTTAAATGTTTATATCGGGATGACCCTAATGTCGTCACTACGGGCGAGTATTCCGAGCCTCAAGGTGCAAATTATCAGATCAACTTTATGCAGGGTGTCTTTTTGAGTGGCATATTAGGCTGAGTCCTATTCTTTGTAGTATGCAATATCATATTGAAATAAACGTTATGTCCAATGTTAACTTGTATCCTTTTAACGGATTGGGCCTTTGACATTTCTGTTGAAGACATTTGACAACACTGGCTGGCGGGAGTGGCGTAAACAAAAACAAAAATAGAACATTTAACCCTACAACCCTGCCAACCATCTCGTGACCCTGCTGCTGAGGTAAATACTCTCTAGTATAGATATTTACCAGTTATACTGATTACCCTCGGCCTCCTGTGCTGAGTAATGTATTATAAAATATGTATAATGCTGTATGTATGTGATAAGAGTGCAACTGTGCATACATAAGTACTGTAACGCAGCCTTCTACTAACGCCTGGGAACACATTTGTATAAGACTGGGCACTAACCTACAATGCGTGGAAGCATGCAGTCACAGGTGAGCCCTTTAGCCTCGAGTACTTCCTGTCATGTCTAGTTAACTCGTGATTAGACGCACTTGCACGGGTGAGATTGCACGCATGTATAAATATATGGTGAGGAACGTTATTACCTTCACACGCCAGCATATCGAAAACCTAAAGCGTTCATTTTGATACTCAATCAGATATTTAGCAGTTAGAAGTGAGTGCTTCGCTCATATGTTTGTATAGATACGTCTAAAAATAATAGACAGTATGAGACGTGAATACACAATGACGTATTTATATATGTATGAATACACACATACACATAAACATATACACACATACGCACACACACACACACACACGTACACAAACACATACACATCAAACACACACAGATTACTACTAAGTACTACTACTAATAATTACTACTACACTAACTACTAACTACTAACTAACTAACTAACTAACTAATAAAAATTTA